CTGTTTCAAAAAGAAAAACAACAATAACAAAACTGTTACTGGAACATAGGCAGAGAGCCCTTGTTTCCTTCTTGCAAGGGTCTGACAGCACAGTCAACAGGGCAGCCCTAGAATTAGGCTGATCAGCTCAAATCCTACTACTTCTCCCTCACTTAATCAAAGTTTGTATGACACTGTGCAAATTAATCTTTTTAATCCTAGATCTCCTTTTCTGAAAAATAGGAATGATAACGATCATAACATCAATCTTGTGGGAAAAGACTGCATACAATCCGTGTTCGTTTACCCACCCTGAACTGAGTATCAGTGAAGTACAAGAATTCAGTACCTTTTGGATAATTCTTTTTCAGTCTCTGGGGCTTGTTCACTGTTTTCCCTAACGGTATTTATTTCATTTGATATTTCTTCATCATTCTGTGGACAGCAAAAGAAATCACACTTTAAAAAGTCAGCAAATTGGGGCCGGAGAGATGGCTCAGTGGAATAAGCGCTTCCCTGGCAAGTGCAAGATCCTGAGTTCAATCCCCGGTTCCACCAAAATAAGTCAGCAAATCAATGACCTTCCCACCAAAGAGGAAAAGATAGATGAGACAGAGAGATGTCAGGATTTGTTCATGTTATACAAATTTACTCATATAACTATGCTAGACAGTTAGAGTGATACATAAAGAAAAACGGTGACAGTATTTTAAATGTCCACTCTGATTGCACTGGATAAGTATAACTGGTGTCATTCTCTCACTTTTCAAAGTTTTTCTAATGTGGTATTTCTTTTTAGTGTATGTGCTGCTGAAGCAAGCACAGTATTTCTTTTTATCATAAACATAAACACACACAAATGTATTACTGGGGCTGGCAAGACAGCTCAGCGATCTAAAGCGCCTGCGTAGGCAAGCTTAGGTAAGGCACAAGGACCATGGTTTGTTCCCAGCACCACATGCCACTGAGCTGGCCACAAAAAAAAAAAAAAAAAAAGTCACTGTGCTAAACTTTCCTAAAATGCTTAATGTAAGGGTTTCTGGGCTTCTTACAAATTTCAAATAAAAACTATGAAGAATGCTGACCATACTGTTTCTAACTCAAAGAATTTAGCGGTGATGTTTTGGAAGGATTAAAGCATGTTAACTTTCCCAAAAGACTGTGAAAGTGACTCAGATATTGGTAACTATCACATTTACCTAAAATGTCATTAGGAAAAGTCTAATTAGGTCATAAATCCACTCCAAACAACAGTAATGCTCTCCAAATTACTTTAACATTTTACCCTTGTTTCTTAAATTCACTAAAGTATGAGTTATGTAATTATATTTAGCTGCTATTCAACATTGATCAATATTTTTTATTTTATTTTTATTTTATTGAGAAATAATTGATCAATATTTTAAAAGATCCTTTAGCACATAATAAAATAATTTATAGACAATAGTGAGTACAGCTGGGTGTGGTGGCACATGCCTATAATCGCAGCACTCAGGAGGCTGAGGCAGGAGGATCTCTGTGCATTTGAGGCCAGCCTGAGCTACAGTGAGATTTGTCTCCAAAAAAAATAAAGTAAAAATTTACAAATGAGTATAAGCATACTATATATATTTTTTTTAGTAGAATAAACACTGGACTGGGTTGAAACAAAGCAAATTTAGTTCCACTTTGGTAATATCTGACATGAACTAAGGTCTTTCCCTTCTATTCACTTCAGTTTTCTTATTTATAAAACTAAATAAAACAAGCCAGCCAAATAGCTCAGTGAATTAAAGCGCCTGCAAGCAGGTGCAGGGAGTGGGGGTTCGATCCCTGGACCTGCTGTGCTGTTCCTGCCTCCGGGAGCGCTAAGACAGCAACTGAGACTGGGCGTGGTGGCGCATGCCTGTAATCCCAGCTCTTGGGAGACTGTAAACAGCCAGATCACTACAAGTCCGATCTAGTAGTGAGACCCTGAACACCTTGTAGACCCTTCCCTATACAAAAAAAAAAAAAAAACTGAACAGACTAATGACCTGTGAGTCCTTTTAAGGCCAACAGTTCTGCATGCTCAGTAATTAGTCAAATAATAATCATTCCAGCTGCAGTCATGGCCCTGAGGATCCGTGGGATTTTTTTTTCCTTGA